AGCAGCTCTGAGACTCTGAGCGAAGGGTGAGGTATAAATCCAATCTCCTCCTCCTCTTCCTCCTCCTCTTCTTCTTCCTTTGATCATCGGATTTTATGGTAGCCTCCACACACCATGCCGCTTTCACTTCCTTTGATCATTGGATTTTATGAAACTTTTTCTGCACAGATTCATGGCTGTCTTGTGGCCATTCAGGGGTGACTTTTGCAGTCAGTACAGCATTGCCCCAAGGTATCTGAATGTGGTTTTGAGCTTCACTTTCCCCTCCCAGTTGAGAAAACGTGGAGTGAATGCTAGATGCAGAATTGCCAATTGCCCCATATCTTTCAATTAACCACTGATGTAATGAATGGAAGTTGTGCAAGTCTGCTGGTATTTCACAGTGGCTATTCCTTGCTCTGCCCTGACTTGTGCGGACCAGGCTAGCCCAGTGTCATCAAATCTCAGAAGTTAAGCAGGGTTAGTAATTGGATGGGAGACCACCAAGGAAGTCAGGGTTGCTGTGCAGGCAATGGCAAACCACCTCTGTGTTGGCAGAGTTTAAATATGCAAAGGAAGTGGAGCACTGGCTATTCAGAGAAAAATAAGTAGGGCCCCGGGCATACGGAGAATATGCCGCGTGAAAGGCACGAATGCTGGGCGGATTTTCGGGGCGCGATCACACCGCAATATCTGGGAAGCGTAGCGCACCCGTGGCCAACCCGTGGCGTGTGGCCAAAGATGCGCAGTTAAAAAGTACCTGCGAAGGTCTACTAGCAAATGGTTTGCCACGGGCTGCAGACGGACTCGTTCGGTGTGATCGCGCCGGCGCGCGCCTATTCCCTCCGGCCGTCCTCTTTGCAGCGCGCACCGAAGGACAAAACCCCGGTGTGCCGCCATCGCGTCTGATCGCATAATGGCGGATCAGGATGCGACGGCACAAATAGCCATGCCTCGAAGGTCTACTAGCAAATGGTTTGCCACGGGCTGCAGACGGACTCGTTCAGTGTGAACGCGCCGGCGCGCGCCTATTCCCTCCGGCCGTCCTCTTTGCAGCGCGCACCAAAGGACAAAACCCCGGTGTGCCGCCATCACGTCTGAGGGCATAATGGCGGATCAGGATGTGACGGCGCAAATAGCCATGCCTCCCCCCCCCGAGTTTTCCGGCACGTGTGGCCGGGGCCTAGGTTTATTATAGAAGGACAAACTGTTATCGAACATACAGAGAGAAAGCTTAAACTAACCAGTCTAACTCCTGTAAAAGTAACAAAGAGCAACAGGAAGCTCTGCAGGAGCAGGAAGTGTCCAGAAGAGCCAATCAGGACACAATTTGAAAAAGTGGGAAGTCCCTAGTCTAGCTATGCTAACTACCAGTCCTTCAGCTGTCCCCCTGTAGGGTGATCTTCAGATCTTCTTCATAAGGCTGCACTAGAGACCTTGCATGTTCCAACACTCTGTTCGTCTCATGCCTTGAAAACCCCGTGGGCTCGCCATAAGTCGGCTGCGACTTGACAGCGCTTTCTACCATTCCTTGCTCTGAATAGTCCCAATGGTCAAAGTGATACAGAAGGATTGTCCCAGAAAGGTTGAGGGACTTGGGGATGTTCAGTCTGGAGAAGAGTCAGTTGAGTGGGGACATGATTGCTCTCTTGAAGTGTTTGAAGGGCTGTCACTCAGAGGAGGGTAGGGCAGCAGTTCCTGTCGGCAGCAGAGGAGAGGACTCACAAGAATGAGTTTAAATTAAGGGTGGGAAGGTTTTTGTTCTTCAGTCGCGCAGTCGAGTCCGACTCTTCGCGACCCCATGGACCAGATCACGACAGGTCTTCCGGTCTTCCGCCATCCTCTGAGGTTTGTTCAACTTCATGTTCGTTGCATCTATGACACTGTCTAACCATCTCGTCCTTTGCCATCCCCGTCTTCTTTGACCTTCAGTCTTTCCCAGCATCAGGGTCTTCTCCAGTGAGGGCTCCCTTCTCATTTGGTGGCCAAAGTATTTGAGCTTCAGTTTAATTATCTGGCCTTCCAGGGAACAGTCAGGGTTGATTACTTTTAGGATTGACTGATTTGATCTTCTTGCAGTCCAAGGGACTCTCAAGAGTCTTCTCCAGCACCATAGTTCAAAAGAAT